TAATCCTGAAGACATTGATTAGCTTGTTCAGGTGTGTTTGATTAGGGTTGGAGCTGAACTCTGCAGGACTGCGCGGCTCTCTAGGACCGAACTTGCCTACCCCTGGTCTAGGTCATCGTAAAAATGTCTAGTAAATCTAGTTATTGTAAACAATTGAGCAGAAATCTGTCTAGGCAGAGCTCGTAAACGTTCAGTCACTTTGACTTGACCTGCTGCTCATTTCCTGTGCCTGTTTGAAGGGTCACAGGATGTCAAACCCCACAGGTGAGAATATTAACACAATGACAGTTTCCATTACTTCATTCAGTGAGTAACTAATGTGACAGTGTGACCTGCTGGAGAATCTCTACTCTTTATTACCTCACCGGGTCTCTTATTAGTTTCAGAAAGTTAGAAGCTGTTCAGTCTCAGTAAACAATAGCTTGAATTAGGGCTGTCAAAAAAAAATTAGAATTTCGAATATTCGTCGAATTTAAAATGAAAATCCACATTCGAATGCAAAAACGTTGCATTAAAATTTTAGGTGTGTGTCAGGCAGCCTTATCAGTGGCGCACGAAATGCGACGACGATGTAAGTGTCGTTGCATTTTAATGTTTGTTCAGTTGAACCCAGTAGATGTGGCGCTGCTACGTTGTTCATTCAAAATATTGCGGGAAAAAAGAACATCAGCATGCGGAGATGATGTTGTTTTTGTCAAAACCGAAACCAAGCCGTTCACACAGAACGCATATTTATCACATTTTCTTGAGGGACATCTATCACTGTTGCACTCGCGTCTCACAGAGAGCGGCATGTTTAGAAAGCCATGGAAATTAATGTAAGTTCAACTTTTTAAAAACATGTCAGTTTTTTTTAATGGCGGTTTTTTCCCCATCCTACTGCATCTCAAGTTTTTAAATGAAGAAAGTACTCTTTGTGATTGGTTTTCGGTCCTTTGTATTAAACTATACATACATGCATGATTCTGTTTCATGTTTCTATTTGTTTCAGCAACTTTAATTATATAAGGTTTATAAACATTATTTTAAACATTATGCACTTTTTTCAAAGATAGTCGTGTTATTTTATTATGCTTTGAAGAAACGTGAATAATATTTTGCTCGATGGCCCTCTTGTGGCCTCAGGAGAGAAGCCAAAAGCTTTTTCCCCCCTAACTGAAATTATGCCTTTTAAATTTGAATATAATTCGAATATTGATAATATTTAAGTACAAAATTTAAATGTAGTTTTTCAGCCATTTTGACAGCCCTAGCTTGAATGTACTGTATGTAGCCAGACTTCTGCACATGTATTGTTATTAGGGGCCAAGCCCCGAAGGGGCTGTAGCCCCTATTGTATCTGTACTGATGATTCTTCTTCTTCTCATCCAATGGGAGTCTATGGCAGCCCTATGAACGGAATATAGGAAAATGATGAAAATTGGCACACTTGTAGTGATGGCCATGAATAGTGATCTGGCCAACTTTGGGGTCTCTAGGACCAATTCTATAGCGCCACCACCAGTTCAAACATTCCAATGGTAATAACTCTTGAACCCCTAATTCTAGAAAAATGAAACATAGTACCTGATTACTCTCCTCATGTTGATCACATTGAATTTCTTACATGAAGTCTGCACCCATTACCGTAGCGGCCATTTTGAAAAGTACTGTTTTTCATTTTTTCGATACTCTTCCTTCACAGAATGACTGAACAGAATTTTTTAACCTACTTGTCAAAAAAAAAGTTATGATGCTGTGAATTTAACCGAGGTTGACCTGAAATTGGTTCAGAGGCTGTATCTCGGCCAAACTTTGATCAATCAAAATAAACTTGATACACTTCTTCAACAGGATGGTATGAGGCTACATGCCAAAGTTGGGAACAGCGCCACCTATGGATCATGAGAAATGAAAAATTGCTATTTTGGCTTATAACTTTTGAACAGTTAATCTGAAAATTATGATCTTGGTGTCTATGGATTCCTCGGGTCATGCCGAATCTGGGGATATCAATTTTGCCAGGATTGGCAAACCATGTGAATCATGTGTCCGGAATTTTGAAATTTGGCATAAATTGCAATTTCTTTTGAACCATTTGGCATATCTGCACAAAAATTGGTAGGGATCATCAACGCCAGGTCCTGGAAGTACCTCAGAAGTTTGAATACAGCGCCACCTAGTGTTCCAGAGATATAACAATTATTGCAAAAACACATAACTTTTGAAAACATTGTCCAAATTTTGTTATTTTTATGTCCTTTAATTCCTTGGGTTATGTCGATTCTGACGGCATCTCACTTGTCATTTTCCATCAGTGTGTCTGTCCGCAATATTGAAGTAAATGAATATTGAAGTAAATTTTTTCGCTACTCCTTCTAGATATGATCTTTGGACCGAGCCGCACAGAAATGACTGAACAGATTTTTGATATTCGCTTCCATTCCTGAGAAATATATCTTGGAAGTTGACCGTCCCTGAGTTTGTTTGAATTGATTCTCAGTTGAACTTCTGAACGTCAGCATCTGTGTGAACATCCATCTCCCCAGTGGCGCAACAAGATCGGTGACAGGCGCGTGACCTGGTGATTGTGGGTGCCGTGTAGTGCAACTTTATAAAATTTTGTGTAATCTTGTCCTGTTTTGATTCCTTTATTATCAAGATCAGCATTGTACACACCTTTATTTATCCTGGATTAGAAATAAATGATTTTATCCGTGCTGTGTTCATTTTCATTTAAACTTCTGTTTATTCTAAGTTCATTCTCACCAATAATTCTGAACCGGCTGTTTTTCACATGAATTCAATTTCCGCTGTTTTTGATTTTTGATCTTCCTGCTCTGCACTGCACTACAGCCCCTTATCGCTGCTTGCAGCTATATTTATTATTATTATTATCATTATTATTATTCTTTGAGAGCGCCTACTATAAAAAGTATTATGTAAATTAGGTTTGTTTTATTTTATTTATACATGTATTTTTTTATTTGTTTGTGGTTTATTTATTTATTGTTAAATTACAGTATATAATTTGTTAAATAAATAACTAAACTGTATCTAACATGAAAAGATTGAAACTTGATTTAAGCCACCACTGTCATCAATACAAAATATGAGTAAAAAAACATTATTATTTATATGGGCTGCATAAAGGGAAAAAATAATGTTAGCCTTTTTTTTTATAAAACAATAATATCACAAATAATATAAAAAAAAACGTAATTCAATATCAAAATATATAATATGACAATAAAATATGTGAGATATATGATTATAAATGTTATAAATTATCTGCTAAATTGAATTTATATTATGAAGTTTTTATAATAATTTTATCACAAAAAGATTTATACTTAAAAAAATATATGTAATTGCAATCTCATCCTAATAAGACACTATAACATAGTATTATAATATATACAATATATTATAAATTATATACATTCTAAAAATTAGATAACATTACTCATAAGAACTGACAGTATTATATCAACGCTGATAGAGAGACTGTCCTCACTTGCTCATTCAAGAAGAAATACTCTTTAACTGACCTGCTCTTAAAACATGTTATTTGCCAAGTCGTTTGATAAAAGAAAGATGAATGAAGAAACTCGGCACAATGAATGCAGAACTGTACTGTGTTGAAACACTATTCTGACGATTAATCCAGCACTAGAGTAAAACTTCTGTTCTACTAGTGAATGCAGAGGTAATATGAGGGACATAAAGGCAGATCTTTCATATTTCAGAGGTGAGTCATGTGACCAGGAATGGGTGAATGTCACAAAAATTAAATCATGAAATCATGAAATGTTTCACCTTTTCGACACTCTGACCTCATGTGCACGTCATGGACAGTGAGCAGTGTTTGGCCTTAGTAACTGGTTTTGTTGGTCTTTTACAGCTGGTTATGTTTTTGGACATGTTTTGGATGAATGGCTTTGGCCTTGCTTTTTATGCAGCTTTTCAGTTTCAAGTATGACTTAAGAAGCTTTCTAAAGATCACTGTCAATTATTTATTTTCAATGCACTCCTAAGAATAAAAGTTCTTCACGGTTTCTTTAAACTGGGTCATTTCCACTATAGTTGAGTTGTTTTATGGATCTTCTTTAGAGATTAAAAAAGAATGATGTTTTATTTTCAACTTCTTAACATCAATGTTTGGGTTTCTGGGTTTTATATATATATATATATATATATATATATATACATACAGTATATAATTTTTTTTTTTTTTTTTCAAACTGTGAAACCCTATTTGGTCATAATTTGAACATTTTGAAGGGTATTAGGAGCTGTCGCTTCATAAACATAATTTCCATCATAAGAATAAATATGCTACCTTTCAGCTTCTATTACTACTAATGATCATACATGGTACATGCATTTGGCAGATGCTTTTATCCAAAGAGACATACATTTGCATTCAAGGTACCCATTTAGCTTTAATAAGTTCTTGTTTTTCCTGGGAATCAAACCCATGACCTTGTGGTTGCTGGCACCATGCTGTACTGTTTGCGTTACAGGAAAGCTATTAAATAAATATAGATCAAATAGTGTATAAGTAAATAAATATAGATAGTTTATTTTAATACAATAAGTTCTAGCAGGTAAATACTGCCCTCTAGCAGCTGGTAAGTGTAGGAGCTAGGATTTTACTGATGGTCTTCATCTTTACTCGTATTCAAGATGAAATTAGACTCTATTAAATATATCGAGAAAATACAATCCCTTCTTTGTTTGAGTGTAATGCAATTAAATCAACTATAAAACCAATGAAATAGTCACTTATCAGCACATCCTGTTTTCCTGTACAGACTCACCATATAAGTCAGGATGAATCATTTTATAAAGCAGAAAGGAGTACTGAATTTCCAGTTAATTTGCTCATTTAATTTTATTAGTCATTTTCTCCTCAGCTTTAGTCCTTACCAAACATTTGTCCATTAAAACCATTCACATGAAATGAGAAATCATAATATCTGCAAATTACACAATTTATTTACAGTACAATGTTGATGACACTTTTCACGTGAAGCTCAACCCTTTCTGGCAATTTCATCACAGGGCTTTTAATTTGACGTATTTATTGAACACACTGACAAATCACTTGGTATTTTGTAAATATGTGTCCATTCCTGTTTCTTAGTTTATTTCAGATGTATTTGAAGCTTTCGAAGCACATTAACAAAATGAGGGATGCATTTTTAATCTTTGTAGTTTGGCCCCAAAAAAAATCGCGTGTAAAAGTTAAAAAAAGATGTGTAGTAGTAAAGTAAATATGGTGTGTTTTGACTTCCTGTCAACTTTTGGTTCTCTTATACACACTCGCATGTTTGCAGATGTTGATTGTGTTCACTCGTTTACTGTGCTGCATCAAACATTTTCTTCCTTCCTTCCATTCCAGACATGGCCTCCACGTTCTTCCTCCAGTCACTGACCTCCACTGTCTTTTCCTACAAAGAGACACACAAATGCAGAACAGAATTATGTCGTAATACTGTACAGGTGTGTGAGTAACCTTAGCTCTTTCATTTCAGCCACGATGGACGCCATTGACCCCCAGCCCACCTTCTCTGTGTCTTCCTTCTTGACGGACTTGAGGTTTGCTCTCAGGTCCATGGACACCTTGTGTTTGGAGCCCAGCAGAGAGCGCAGGATGGCGTCAGCGGAGACTCGGACTCTCCTCAGGGTGGGTCGCTTGAATTTGCCTCTCAGGTCCACGACTTTGATGTTCAGGTCCTTGATCTGCAGCAGGTTTGTTTAAAAGTTTCATCATTCGCTAGTTATTATTGAGCAATTTGGTTCTTGTATGAATATGATGTAATGTTCTTACACAATACCACAGTTCTACCTGATTAACATTACAGCATTATTTTGGAATAATGCAAGATCATAAACAGGTGCGACGCAACCTGTTTCCCTCCATGTTTTCTTTTCTTTTTTTTTAGCCAGCAAAGGCATTTGCAAAATTCTTTTTTTTTTCTTCAGTTTTTCATAAAATGTTCTGTTGTTGTTTATTTTCATATTTTTAAATTAAATCATTTTTTGTTGTGATTAATCTTGGAATGTTGGAATTTTAATTCTACAGAGAAAATGAATGGGAAAAATGCTTCCACAACCGAGGTTGAATAAGTAGGCACTCACTGTTGTGCTCTGTGAAATATTAAATCGGTTCTGATTTAGTAAATATGTTGGATAGTGTTTTTGGTTTTAATATGTATTGACAAATTAATGCTGGAAACTTGTTATTTCATGTCTGGTTCAGGGAGTTGCTGTGATTGTGAATGGCCAAAAAGACATTTCATTTTCCTACAGACGTGGTGTGTTGTTGAGCTAAACTGTTTCTTTACTTCTCTTGTGTTGTGAAGCACTTTAGCCTCGATATCGTAGCGCTCCTCGTCCACCACGTCGATTTTAACATGTAGTTCCCGACACAGCTCCTGATAGAGAGAACAAATATAGTGTTTACATGCCTGCAGCTGTTTCTGCTGATGGTGAAAGAAGTTTTTCTAAAAGTATGATTTTATATATACAGAACAATATTATTGTTTGTTTACAATATTCATGGTTCTTAAATAGCACTTTTGGGATACTATAGTTTCCAAAAACATGGTTTCCCATGTTATAATTTTTGGTAATACCATGGTACTTTTTGTAAGGAATTTATTTATATTAATATCAGTAGTATGAGAGTGTTTTGTGATTTTGTGTTGTGGATGATGTACCTGAAGCTCAGCGGAAGACATGCCACTCGTCTGTAGCGGAGGAGCTTTCTCAGCCAGATATCTCTCCTTCTCTGCTTCTTTATCTACTAGCTCCTGCTCTAACTCATCCTTTGCTTTAGCTACCATAAGACTCTGATGAACACACAGACATGCACACTTTAACATCTAATATATGCTAGGAGCAAAAGCTTTTGAATGCACTTTCTTAATTTGTGATGCTTGCTAAATATTGCTTTATTACATTTTTTGAGCAACCCTCCCAAAACACTCTACAAATGTGTCATTTTGTACAGGAAACACTACCCATGTTGTTTTAAGAAAATGATTACAATTTTTGCAGTGCAGTTGTACCTTAAGCATCAGCTTGCGAGATGCAGAGATCTTGGACTTTTTCTATCAAATTTCAAATAAGCATTGGTTATATAGAGCAGACATTATTTATGCTGTCATATACTATCATTCTCACATCAAAATATTATTTGTTATGGTTACAGTAGATTAGTTTGCTGGTAGATCAAAAAAAAAGTATTGAAAAAGTGGCATTCAGTGATGGCTTGTCACTCTCACCTCTTGCCTGCAAAAGAATAAAAACACACAATTAGATCATAAAATATGATTCTTATTAATAACAAAGCTTTTAGTTTGATGTCCAAAAGTCTAAGACCACAAAGAGAAAATGCTTTTATTTAGCATTCTTCAAATTAATACATTTTTTAATAATATAGTGATTTTTATAATAAAGTAATTGGAGGGAAAATAATTTGATACACTGTAAATGATTTTTCAAAGTTACAAATAAATCAAAGATTATTGGAGTGTTTTACAAGAAAGTAATAATAAAATCAATAATGAAAATGTAATTATTTGTCTAATTTAAGTATGTTTTACCATTTCAGTCTTTCTACTTAAAAATGACATGTTAAATTCAATGTGTGACTGCATTTCTTTATTTTCTTTATATTATTTGTTAAATTTACTAGCA